ACAACAGGCAACGGAAACAGTAGCTCGGTATCTAAAGACGAACTATGTGAAGAAAAATAAGGAGTATCCTCAAAAAAGGTAACGTCCATGCACACAAAAGCCTTACGAGTGCTAGGATCCTAACATTTATAGCCTTTTTGAGTCCGAGAGTATCCAATAAAGACACACTTGATGGCACGAGGAGACAATTTATCAGCGCCAGGGCGTAATATGTGAGCAAAACACACACACCCAAAAACACGAGGCGGCAATGCAAATAATGGTCGAGTAGGAAAAACAAAGGAATAAGGACATTTCCAATTAAGAACGGAAGATGGCATACGATTAATTAAATAACAAGCAGTTAAAACAACATCGCCCCAAAATGCTTTTGGAAGATGCATATGTATCATCAATGTACGAGCTATTTCAATTAAATGCATATTTTTCCGTTCAGCTACGCCATTTTGTTGAGGAGTATAAGAACAAGAAGTTTGGTGCAAAATACCACGAGAGTCGCAAAAACTAGAAATAGCACCTTTGACATACTCCATAGCATTATCAGATTGTAAAGTACGTATAACACACCCAAATTGGACCTCAATTTCTTTTAAAAATATTTGAAATATGGAAAACAGTTCAGAACGGTCTTTTATTAAAAACAACCAAGTCATCCTTGAATAATCATCAACAAAGGTAACAAAATAAGAAAAACCTGAGTGACTAGTGTGACGAGCGGGACCCCAAATGTCCGTATGTACTAATTCAAATAAAGAAGACCGACGATTAACAATACGAGGAGGGAAAGGCACTCTATGGTGCTTACCCAACTAATAAGATTCACAATTTAAAATAGACACCGACTCAAGGAAAGGCAAAGCAGACTTCAAATACCGCAACGAGGGATGACCTAACCGATAATGCCACTGGTACACAGACATCTGGGAATGTAAAGCAACAGTGGAAGGTTTGCAATCCAAATAGTATAGGCCATTTCTGTTACTGCCCCCACCAATCGTCTGTTTCGTGTTGAGGTCCTAAAAGACACAAAACGAAGGATAAAATGTGACAAAACAGTTCAGAGCTTGAGTCAATTTACTTACAGATAATAAATTAAAGGGAAAATTTGCAACTAATTGCACAGAGGATAAAGAAATGGATGGGGTTAATTTAATTGTTCCTTGGCCAATAATGGAACATGTTCTACCATTAGCCAGAGTAACAAAAGATGAGGAACTAGACTTCTAAAAATTAGAAAATAGAGAGGCATCACCTGTGAGATGGGTAGAAGCCCCAGAGTCAATAACCCAAGGGGATGTTGAAGTCTATAACTCGGACAAGCATGCAATATTACCTGATTGCGCAAAATTAACTACATCAGTAGAGTTGGGATGTGTCCGGTTGACCAATGCACTGAACTCAGCTCGTGATAGTGATAGTGTCACAGTGTCACTAGTAGATGCAGGTGATGGTAATCCAGAAGTCTGACCAAGAGAGGGATGAGACCCCGCAAGGTCAGAGGAAGACACTGCTTGATTTGCCCATGCTAGTTTCCCATGAAGAGTCCAACAGTTCTCAACAGAATGGTTAGTACCCTTACAGTGGCTGCACATACGAGTGTCACTACGTCCACGACCACGGCGATTGCGACTTCTATCACGGCCACTACCTCCACGAGAACTACCTGAATTTCCACCATACCCTCTGTTGCCACTAGGACTATCACGACCTCTAGAGGACTGTGGAAAAATAGAAGGAATCATCATAGCTGAATTTTTTTTCACTCCAGTGGGCATCACATGTGACTGTTCTGAAACCCTAAGTAAGTGGGAATAAATGTTACCCAAAGATGGGAGTCCTCCATCACCCGCAAGAATCTGGTCCCGAATATTATGAAGGTTCGGGTGCAAACCAGCAAGAAAAATAGAAACAGAAAATTGCTCACGTTGTCGCTTGAGAGGATCAGTGGTCAAGGGGTGGTACTGATTTAACTCATCTAACAGGCTTTTGAAATTACTGTAATACTCACCAAAGCCTTGACCAGAGAAGTCAGATTGATGAGATTGAAATATCTTTTCATACAATGAATATATGCGAGAAACATTTGTGTCCATAAAGTAAGTCTCTTTAACTGCATCCCAGATTGCCTTGGCAGTGTTGACAAACATAAAAGTGGATGCAATTGAAGGTTCCATACTGTTCCACAACCAGGACATAACCATATAGTTATCAGTTTCCCACTCCTCATATGTAGCTGATGTTTTTGATGGAGGATCAGTTGTAATAAACTTCAGCTTTCGTCGGGCACCTAAAGAAATCTTTACTACTTGAGCCCATAGTAAGTAATTGGAATTACTTAATTTCATAGATATAATTTGCAGCCCAACTGGATCAACATATGTTACAGAAGATATAACTCCAGTAGACCCAGAAGCAACATTTGAATTGTCCGGCATGGAGATATGAATATGAAAAGATAAAAAAAAAACTTATCTCAGCCAAGTTAAGATGCCAAATCTGTACGGAGGAACCAAAGGAAGTTGTTGCACTTGAGAAGGCCAGACCAGAGTTGAACCAGGAACAAAAGAAGACTCGGAGCAGAACAGACCCGGTAAGTAAATCGGGCCGGACCTTGAATCGGGTCAAACGGTCCGGCACTTGAATCGGGCAAACGAGCCGGACCTTAAATCGGGTCGAAACAAATCCAGATTATATTAACCTGGATTAGGATAGCGAGCACCCCGTAGCCAAACACCATTCGTCTCTTAGCTCTCCGGCAAGCATGCAGCGGCAGCGACGATGGAATCAACAAGCAGCGATGCACCTCGCGACAGCCGTCAGTGACCAAACAACGAGCAGCAACGACGACGACAGCCGCTGGTGACCAAGCAGCGACGGCAAGAGAAAGCGGTGAATTCGTTGACAACTGAAACGGCAACAACACGAGTAACCAAACTGGGTTTCAGATCTGAGACCAAGCAACGAGCAACGAGCAGCGACGACAAGAGAAGGCTGTGAGCTTGTCGACAACCAAAAAAAAGGGCAACAACACCACCGTCACAAGTTCTGAACAGATCTAAAGATCTACACAAGAACAATGCAATTGCAATTTCCCACACTCACAATTTCGATCGGCTCTGATACCATGTAGAAATGAAGATTTGTATATAATGACAATAGAGATACAGAGAGAAGGAGAGACAGCGAGAGAGAGAGACTAAATTGCTCAGCCCATTTTCTCATATATCTTTAACCCTAAAACATAAAGGGAGTTATATACAATACAATAAAGGCCTAATTACATAATGGCCACAAACCCTATATCTAATTACAATAAGACCCCAACATATATACATATAAGTGTTTCAACACTCCCCACCAAGATGATAGGTCTAAAGTCCTTGACGTCCGACGTACCCCCCTTCTTTGGAATGAGAGCAATAAATGTCGCATTCAGACTCTTCTCAAAGTGCCCCCAAGAGTGAAAAGAAGAGAAAGTGCCCATAACCTCCCCCCTCACCACCTCCTAACTGTCAAGAAGAAATCTCATAAAGAAACCATCCGGACCGGGGCTTTATCCCCATTGCAACTCTTCAAGGCCCACAGAACTTCCTCTTCAGAGAAAGGCCTTTCCAAACCAATGCCGTTCCAACTCAGAAATGCAATAAAAATGCAACCCCCAGAGCAAAGGTCGCCAACTCTCTGTCTCCATGAACAAACTCTGATAAAAAGAGGAAACTCCCCTACATATGTCCTCCTTGGAGAGAAGCACCCCGTCCACCGTAATCTCCCGATATGGTTACCCCTTCTATAAGCACTCGCCGACCGATGAAAGAATTTCGTAATTTTGTCCCCTTCCTTAAGCCACAATGCCCTAGATTTCTGCCTCCACAAAATTTCCTCCAATATAGCAAGCTCAGCAATTTCTACCTGACATTCAACCCTTCTCTGAATCAAAGCCTCATCATTGGCACCCTCCCTTTCCTTTCGGTCAATATCTGCAATTTCAGCAAAAGCACGATTCTTTCTCCATTCCAGATTCCCAAAATCCTCCTTGTTCCATATTTTAATGTCCTCTTTCAGAATAGGGGTAGACCTAGATGGTCTGTGTTTGCTTCTTCAATTTTGCAGAACAAAATTTTAGTTCAAATACAGTTGCAGAAGAGGGGTATTGAGCTCTTGCTGTCCTTCTGTATGAAGCATGATGATGAGGTTAACCATCTGTTTCATATATGTGATACACAAGAGGTTATGAGCTGGTTAGGTGGTGCTCTTAATTGGTGTTTACCAGTTGCTAAATTCTCTTTTAGAGTTTGCTGGTTGGTTTACACAAACTTTTATATGTACAGCAATAAAAGCAAGCTATCAAGGGTCAGTTTCACAGCAACTTTATCTCATATTTGGACTGTAAGGAATAACAAAGTTCATGGAAATTTTTGTAGAACTGTGCTCATCTACCTATGGGTATCTTTTTGGCAGTGTCAGATGTACTGGGATTGTAATTATCTGATTTGAAAGTGTGATCATTTTGTTTTGATGTTTAGAGGCTGTTAGCTTGTCTACACGATTTGTACACCAAGGGTATGCCTTCACTTATTCTCTTGTACATTATTGTTTTTTTCCCCTCTATTAATACAATATCAATTAGGAAAAAGAAAACATATTTCTTGCGCCATAACCTACTGAATTACCTAAACATGTTACTTTCTACGATAATCTTTCAATGGTCAGTTTCACCACATAAACATCATGAAGAAGATAGTATCTCTGTAATTAAATATCTTATCATCGCAATTGCTTTCTACAAGGTGTGGACACATACACAATCAAAATGCAAGTCACTTATCAGAAGAAAAAGAAAATAAAACAAATAGATGTTGCTTTGATTTGATTAAAGAAGTATCTTTCATCAATATATGTAGTATTCATTTTTTTAACTACAATGTCATGATTCTACTAAGAGAAGGTTTCAGAAGAAAAATACATGTCGGATTTCAATTCTAATCCAACAATGTAATGACCTGATATATCCATGAATTAATCCTCTGATGAACTTCATCTAGTAGCGGTCCTCGCAAAACTGTAAATGGCATCTGTAATTTCAAGAAACGGCTCCTTAGTTAATTATTGCCAGTGTTTTTCTAACTCATGCATGTAGTAAATGCTTCGAAAAACATCACATACCTGTCCTTCAGATGGAATGGAGAAAGAACCATTTGGACGAAAAACATATGCTCCAGAGGCCTTTAACAAGTACAAGTCACTTATTACTTATACTGTTAATGTTCTCATATATTAACTCAAACTGAAAATACAATAGTCAGAAGAACAGTAATATCCATGGGTGAACCAACAATGATGCAAAATAAACTTTAGACAAAAACAAAAAGTTTAAGTACCTGAAAATATTCGGGATCTTGACTTCCGTCATAGGCAGCATAGTAGCCATATGATTCCTCTAAAGTTGCTTCAACCTTCAATTTTAAACTAATACTAATTTAGATGCAAACAAACTATTCTTTTAAATGAAAAGGAAAAATATGCTACCATGTGTTTAGACATTTGAAAAAAAAAAATAATAACAATTATAATTATTCGTCTTATGATGGGTAAAAAAGAAAATGTAGGACAAAATAGAGAACCTACCAGAAGAAATACAAGAGAAATATGTAAAGGCTTGAGTAAAGGCTTGAGTGAGAATAAACACTCATTCATAGCTTTGGTATTTATATACTAAAAAGAGCACATGTTAATATTACAAGAAATGAAATTGAATAAAATCACTGCATATTTTATGCCTAGACATGTGTGTAAATAAAGTTAAATCCCATGATTTTAGCCTATCATATCTTGCCTATGTTAGAGTGTGTCTCAAGTTCATCATACTACTTTTATTCGAGGTGGAGAAATCTTTAATTGAGGTGGAGATATGAAGAGATCCTTGTTCGAGGTGGAGCTATGAAGAAGCACATGAAGATTGAATTTTGGGCCAAGGTGGAGATTGTTGGGTTTGTGGCTCAAAATTTGTGTGCAGAAATTTAGTTCCCTTTTTACGTTTTGGAAGGCTAAAATTTATGGAGGAAATTGCTTGCCACTATGTTTCTATTTTAGAATTGTGATCATTATGGTAACACTCCTTGTAAGCAAGTTGGGGAATACTTGTCCAACAAGGAATTGGGTTTGAAGACTCTATAAATAGAGATGGGTGTGAGGGGTTTAGAGAGAGAGAGAGAGAGAGAGAGAGAAAAGATGTAAGGGGTTTAAGGGTGAGTGTTGTGAGGAGAGAGGTGACCATATGTAATTCCCGAGTGTATACATGTAGCCTCATAAGAGATGATGAGTGAGTGAGTGGGGTTTTGACATGTGGTTGTATATTCTCTTTCTTGATTCATAATAGTAAAATCTCTCTCCCCCATGGACATAACCCTAGAGTTGGGTGAACCATGTAAATATTGTGTTATGCATTGATGTGTATGATTGTTATCTCCATATATGCTTGTGTGTGATGTGATGTGATGATGCTTCCGCTGTGTGTGATGAAGGGGGGATTTAACTCTCAACAATAGTCAACCGTTGAGTGGGTTGGAGGGAGTTAATTATCCCCAACAATTTGTATCAGAGCCGATGGTGGGTCAGGCGGGTCAGAGCCTGTGATTGGTCCTGAAGATCAGTAGAAGAAAATTGGTGCGAAGCTTGTCAGAGCAGAAGATGATCGTGAGGTGCTATGGAGATTCAATCAGAGTTGATGATGACACGAAGGTATGAAGAAGCTGATGGTGTGAAGCCCATGAGGAACAAGTCTTGGGACAAGCCGGATGATGCTCGTTTTCAAGATGGGGCAAAGGTGATAGAGTTGAAGCCCACGAGGAACAAGTTTTGGGGACAAGCCAAGAGTGGTGCTAGTTCTCAAGATGGGGCAGGGGTGTGAAGAATGAAGGGGTTTACTCTAAGCCCGATAAAGAGCAAAGGGGAATATGAAGAGTGAAGATGAGAGGTTTATTGCTTTGATCCAGAAAAGCAATTGACGAAGATGAGTTGAAGATTGGTGGGTTGCCATGTGTAAGCAATTGAACACCAACGGGGTAGATAGAAATGATAGAAGAAAAAATGAAGAATGATGAATTTGAGAAAAGGCTAAGATTGTTAGAGTGTTTCTCAAGTTCATCATAGTGCTTTTGTTCGAGGTGGAGAAATCTTTAATTGAGGTGGAGATATGAAAAGATCCTTGTTCGAGGTGGAGCTATGGAGAAGCACGTGAAGGTTAAATTTTGAGCCAAGGTGGAGATTGTTGGGTTTGTGGCTCAAAATTTGTCTGCAGAAAATTACTTTCCTTTTTTCGTTTTGGAAGGCTCAAATTTGTGGAGGAAATTGTATCCCATTATGTTTCTATTTTAGAGTTGTGATCATTATGGTAACTCCTTGTAGGCAAGTTGGGGAATACTTGTCCAACAAGGAATTGGGTTTGAAGACTCTATAAATAGAGATGGGTGTAAGGGGTTTAGAGAGAGAGAGAGAGAGAGAGAAAAAAAAAAAAAGATGTAAGGGGTTTAAGGGCAAGTGTTGTGAGGAGAGGAGTGAGTATACGTAATTCCCGAGTGTATACATGTATCCTCATAAGAGATAATGAGTGAGTGAGTGGGGTTTTGATACGTGGTTGTATATTCTCTTCCTTGATTCATAATAGTGAAATCTCTCTCTCCCATGGACGTAAACCTAGAGTTGGGTGACCAATGTAAAATATTGTGTTGTGCGTTGATGTGTATGACTGTTATCTCCATATATACTTGTGTTGATGTGATGTGATGATGCTTCCACTGTGTGTGATGAAGGGGGGATTTAACTCTCAACAACAGTAGACCGTTGAGTGGGTTGGAGGGAGTTAATTATCCCCAATAGGCTAATATGATAAGTTACATCAATTAAAGTTGAAGAAGTTAGGGTTTGTAGAAGTAGAGGAAAAGAGGAAGAAGATGAGAGAAAAAGAGAGGAGTATTCAGTGAAAGGTGAGACACGTAGGTTAGGGTTTTCCCCACACCTCTCACCTATTATAAATTAAGTAGACATAAAGACAATAGTACCCTTGATAAATAAAAGAAATAACAACCACACTCTCTAACACACCCCCTCAAGCTCAAGCATACATATTAAACATGCCCAGCTTGGAACACATGCGCTGAAAAGCAAGACTGGCTAACGGCTTCGTAAGAACATCATCCAGTTGGTCTGTAGAGCAAATATACGGAGTAACAATCTGTTTTTGCATAAGCAAATCTCGAATAAAATGACAATCCACCTCAATATGCTTGGTACGCTCATGAAAAACTGGATTACTAGTAATAAAGATAGCCGCCTGATTATCACAAAGCATTGACATAGGAGTAGGAACATCAATACCCATCTCCCGAAGAAGAGAGCGAACCCATAACATTTCAGAGGCTGTGTGAGCCATAGCACAATATTCGGCCTTAGCACTGGAGCGAGCAACTACTGTTTGCTTCTTACTCCGCCATGTAACCAAATTACCACCAACAGATGTGCAATAACCAGATGTAAGCCGCCTATCAAAACGACAGCCACCCAATCAGCATCACTAAAACCGGATACAGATAAGGAAGAAGAGGTTGTATACAATAGGCTATTCCTAAGCGCACCCTTCAGATAACGCAGAATACGACAAACAGCGTCAAAGTGAGGTTAACGAGGAGCATGCATATACCGACTAACCACACCAACAGCATAAGTAATATCAAGACGAGTAACAGTAAGATAGATCAATTTCCCAACTAGTCGTCGGTATCGCCAACATTGGCAAACAAATCCCCATTTTCACCATCTAGTTTGACCATTGAATCCATAGGAGTATCAACAGGTCGAGCACCTAAGAGACCGGTCTCAGAAAGAAGATCAAGAACATATTTCCATTGAGACAGTGAGATGCCCTTACGAGAACGAGCAACCTCAATCCCAAGGAAATATTGAAGAGCACCCAAGTCCTTGGAATGGAAATGATGACCCAAGTGTCGCTTCAACTCGGCAATGCCTGCTGAATCACTCCCAGATATAATGTTATCATCAACGTAAACAATCAACACAATAGTACCAGCAGAAGAGTGACGAACAAACACAGAATGATCACAAGTAGAGCACTAAAAACCAAACTCAAATCACCACAACACTGCATTTATCAAACCAAGCACAGGGTGAATGTTTCAAACCGTATAGAGCCTTGCGCAGGCGACAAATGAGGTGCTCACTAACAGCAATAGCATAACCAGGCGGTTGATCCATGTAAACTTCCTCTTGTAAGTCCCCATGAAGAAAAGCATTCTTTATATCAAGCTGATATAAAGGCCAAGAACAATAAACAGCCACTGACAATAAAACTTATACAGAGTTTAGACGAGCTATAGGAGAAAAGTTCTCTGAGTAATCAACTCTATAGGTCTACGTGTAACCTTTAGCAACCAAATGCACCTTAAGACGCTCAACACTACCATCAGGAAGATACTTAACGGTGTAAACCCAACGACAGCTGACAGTTCGTTTCCTAGAAGGGAGAACAGCAAGCTCCCAAGTCCGATTCTTGTGAAGAGCACTCATTTCCTCATCCATAGCATGTTTCCATCCAGACATAGATAAGACCTGCTTACAAGATGAGGGGTAGAGACAAAGGACAAGGTAAAGGCAAAAGACTACAAGGAGGAGGAAACACGATCATAAGAAATAAAATTAGCAAAGGGATGCTGAGTGCAAGTACGTTTACTGTTAGCATATATAATACCACGATTTATGGTACGACTTACCATAATAGCAGAGATTTGACTATGCATATGTTAGCATATATGATACCACGATTTATGGTATGACTTACTATAATAGCAGAGATTTGACTATGCTATAAAATATGCCATAGAATATGCTTTAGAATAAGTTGTGATTTGATTTTGATTTTATTTAGTTTCCTTTCTTGTAATATGAGCATGTGCTTATTTTATCTATAAATACTAGAGCTATGAATAAGTAATTCATATCATTCAAGCCTTTACACAATTCTCTCTTTTCTCTTCTTTTTATATATTTCTACTTGGTATCAGAGCCAACACCTTTCCACACCTTTCAATAGCCTTGCTACTTATGCGACAGCTACCTTAGGTTGTTTGTGACATCGTATGACATTGCCTACACATGCTTTTCTGTGTTGCTGTTTTGTGATTGAAAACAGGTATTTTTTAAGTTTTACAATTTCTTTTTCACTCTTCTAGGGTTGGGTAAATTGGGATAGTTGGTTTCCAACACCTAGAAGGGCTTGGGTAAAAAAAAAAAAATATTATTAGTCTACAAAGAGGTTCCAAATATTAGGAAGGAGGCTGTCTGGCTATATGTAAGCGGGCAGCGCTCCTTAAAAAAGGTATGTATTTGGATTTTTCGGGAATGGTTTGAGGAGACATTGTTGTTGTTATGGTCTGAGGAGACC